GGCGTGCGCGGCGCCTGCGCGGTGGCGGAGCGGCGGCGATGAAGGTGGCGGTGGCCGGGTGCTGCCATGGCGCCCTGGACAAGATGTACGAGACGCTGGAGCTGTTGCAGCGGCGGCACAACGTGCGGCCCGACCTTCTCCTCTGCTGCGGCGACTTCCAGGCTGTCCGTAACGAGGCGGATCTCCGTTGTATGGCCGTTCCCGCTAAGTACCGCCACATGCAGACCTTCTACCGGTGAGCCCCGGTTCCGGGCCTTAAGCTCCCGGTCTGGTTTCGCCTGGTCTCGGCCCTCTCCTGCAGCAGTCGTGTCCCCCGCAGGTACTACTCCGGTGAGAAGAAGGCTCCGGTCCTCACGGTGTTCATCGGTGGGAATCACGAAGCGTCCAACCACCTGCAGGAGCTGCCCTACGGAGGGTGGGTGGCCCCCAATATCTACTACCTCGGTAAGGTGTCCCGTCCCCCACAATCCCTTCCCTCCGGTCTCTTGTCCTCCCAGCCCTCTCTTGTCCTGCCCTGGTCCCTCCATGACCAGCTGCTCTTCTATCTCCTCTAGGTTACGCCGGCGTGGTGCGGTTCCGCGGCGTGAGGATTGGTGGCATCTCGGGCATCTTCAAGTCTCATGATTACCGGAAAGGTATGGGGGGGGTGGGCAGAGTGGGGGCCCTGACTGTCCCTCCTCTCAACCAACTCTTACCCTGGAAGTCTCTCTTGGCTCAACACACGGGTTTTTCTGGAGGTGGTGGATGAGTTGGTCATTGCCTGGTGACCAGAGCAGGAAGCAGTGGGCCTTTGGAATGTTGTTGTTGGAACAGTTTTGATTTTTCTGTGGCGGTGTCCTTTTAGCATGCAGTACAAGACTGTTTAGCTTTCCTTGTGTGAAACAGGTTACAAGCGTGATATTTTACTGTCCTGAGCTGAGGCTTGGTGTCAGTGCATCTCAAGATCAATTCCTCCTGGTTATACGTGCATGCAAGAGTTCTTCCTTGGAAGGGTCTCCATCAGCGGACAGAAATCTTATCACAGATTACACTTGGTGTCAGTCTTTCTGATCTCCTCAGCACAGCGGTCTCTAAAGTAAAATTAACTTTAGTAACATAGCTCCTCAGAGGAGTTTTGCACGTGGCTTTCAAGCTGCAAACTACTGAACTAGTTTTCTAGAACGCTTGATTCGAACACCTACCAATGCTAATTAAATTTGTTGTTATCAGGCATACAGTTTATACGCCTGAATGTTGCATGTGGGAGATTAGACTTTTTTTTGACAATAATGCTAACTACAAAAAAGGAAATTTCTCTGTTAATTCTTAAGAGCACATAGGAGCTCTGCTGGGCGTTTGGGTGTTTTGTCCCAAGGCAGAGATGAAGATTGTGTCCCATTTGTCAGGGTATGTGTTTGCAGTTCCAGAGCCTGTGGTGCCTGTGGGCAGTTACAGGTGTGTTTAAGCTGCTGCTGAATCTGTGGAGCTGTGATTTCACAGCTGGTAGCAGCACTTGAAGAAACACAAAAAAATCAGAGTATTGGTGGCCTCAGTCAGATCGCATGCAGTGCTCTGTGATCTTCTAGTTTACACCTCTTTCCAAATTGTTAAGTCCTAACTTAACTTTTGGTCGCTGACTTCTCACAGAGGGTGGCTCTGTTCTCGCTATGTGAATGCCTGTCTTTTACTTGTTCCTGTTCTTTGGCTGTTGCAGCACGTTTGTGTGTGTAGCCATGTTGTTGGTAGCTACACAGGTTAGCAGCCTGTTGCTGTAAGCCTCCTGTGAAGGAAACACAGTATCTTCTTCAATGACTGGCAACCTTGTATTTGGGGTTGCTGTAGGTGTCTCTGTGACCCCAAGAAGCCAACTGACAAACAGTGTTAGGAGGGAACTGTTGATTTGGGCAACTACTCTTTTTTTTCTCCTTGTTTCAGGCCACTTTGAGTGTCCACCATACAACCAGCAAACAATTAGAAGTGCTTACCACGTGAGGAACATCGAAGTCTTCAAACTCAAGCAGGTTAGTGAAATATCTGTTCTTTAAACAGTGGTAAATAGTTTTCATTAACTTACCAGTAAGACATTAAAGCTACTCTGAACGCTATTGGATAGCAAATCTCAGCAGCAACTCCCAGCTAATCTGGACAGGCCATTTGATGCTGGCTGTGATTCCACTGTCGATTATCTCCTCCAACACTTTGCAAATTTGATCTGAATCAGGCACAGGCAGGAGCATGGTTTGTTTTTTGATTGTGGTTTTTTGTTTTTTCAATTGGATAAAATTCCCAGAATAGAAGGAATTCCAGCTATGCACCGCTGTTCCAGCTTTGTTAGCTTTAGGAAGATGGGTGGTATGTTGTCTAACATGCAAGCTGGTTGGTAGGAAGTTAACTAACCAAAATTGAACCAGCTGAATAAGCCATGCCAAATTTCTGTGGTTGAAGTATTTTTTGGCTCCAGGGCGAGGAATTTGAAGGATGTTCAAATGGCTTTATTTCTGAGCCGTTGCCTGCTCCCTGCTCTGTCGCAAGGGCTGCTCCATTCGGCTGAGGCTGTGAATGCACGTGTTTCTAAGTGTCTTGTGAAGGATTAGTCAGGTTGCAGTTGCACAGTTCAGTAGATATAAATGGCTTTATTTCTGAGCCGTTGCCTGCTCCCTGCTCTGTCGCAAGGGCTGCTCCATTCGGCTGAGGCTGTGAATGCACATGTTTCTAAGTGTCTTGTGAAGGATTAGTCAGGTTGCAGTTGCACAGTTAAGTGTTCAGTAGATACAGGGATGCTGAACATAGGACAAAGCTTTGCTGTCATTGTAAAGGGTTTGATTCATTTCCCTGTAAGTTTCTTACTAGTTGGACTCCAGTCTCATCTAGAAGTGTGTTCTGATAGAGCTGGTGGAAATATACTGAATATTGAACCAAGACATGCTGAAGACACTGGTTAGGCTTCTGAGAGGTTCTTCCTTTGAGGAGGAATATCATGCTTAGCCATTGTCCCTTTTAAATAAAGCTTTTAAAAATTGAATAAGGAAGAAGATGCCTTTGATTGTGGGTAGAGAATTTGCTCTGTAGCTCTAATTTTTAAGAGCCGCCTTCTGAGTGTCTGGCATTTCCTGTCATATGTGATCCCTTTTATAAGGCAGTCTGTATCAAACCCAGCTGACTGTCCCATGAAACTGTAGCACAAACCATGGAGACTAGAATCCCTTGGAAAGGGCCACCTGAAAGACATGGCTTAGGGATATATTTACCTGCTTTGGAAGTGAGGCTATTGATCACAGCTACCTCTGATTGATCAGAGATAGAACGTGTTATACGTTCAGTCTTATGCTGTGTAATTTCAAAAGTTTTTTATCAATGTGTTTTATTTATACTGTATTCACTTTTGGCTTGACAGTTAAAACATCCAATTGATATATTTATGTCCCACGACTGGCCAAGGAGCATATATCACTACGGGAACAAGAAACAGCTTCTTAAAATGAAATCCTTCTTCCGTCAAGAAGTGGAGAGCAACACACTAGGCAGCCCCGCTGCTTCAGAGCTTCTGCAGCATCTCAAACCCACCTACTGGTTCTCAGCACATCTTCATGTTAAATTTGCAGCTTTCATGCAACACCAGGTAAAGGAGGGGGGGGAAATAAAGAATGTATGTCCCAAGCACATTTTAGAATTCCAGTGCAGGTAATTATGCCCAGAAAAGCAACTTCTTAATATTTTTGCTCAGTTATTAAAACTGAGCTTAAACTGCAAAATATTAAGTGGTGTTAAAACTACTAGTTTATATAAATGAAAGAGATGTTAATAAATCAGTGGTGTAACTGCCTGATCTTCTTCAGGAACAGCACAAAGTAGCTGACATTATTGAATTTGAAACTTCTTAATTTAAGCTTGTAGAAAAGCACTTCCTTTCCCCCTTTATTGGGAAAGGAGACACCTTCCAACCAAATGATAGAGAAGCAACTGAAAAGAAGGTATCAGCTAACCAGGAGTGGGAGGGTGCCTGCAGTAAGGCTTGGCAGATGAAGTGCTCTGGTGGCCTGGGTAGAGCCAATAACCAGCACCTCTCAGTTGAAACTTGTCTTGGTTTGAGTTGCTCCTGAAGGTAGTCTGACTTCCTATTCCTATTTGCAAGTTACTTAGGTGTAAAGATGTAACTCTAGACCTTCTAGACTCAACAAGTCTGTTTCTAATTATGTTAAAGTTTTTATTTTGGTGTGAAGGCTAGGTGTGCTCAGCTGCCTTGGTTGGAGGGGACCTGTAGCTCTTGCTTTATCTTGATGTCATCTGCATCCAACTTCCCATTAGACTTCCAGTGAAGTCTGTCTTTCTCTTTGTCCCCCCATCCCTTTCTTACAATCCCATGCCGATTTTTCTACTTCAAAAAGTCATCATCTATATAAATTACGCTTTTAAATCTCTCTAACTTCTTTAGAATGGTCAAATCTTATAGGAATGCTCATTACTGTGTTAATACCATTTATTTTCTAGACAAACTCCAAAGAAGAGCTGCCAAAAGCAACAAAGTTCTTGGCTCTGGATAAATGCCTGCCACACAGGGACTTTCTGCAGGTGATGACCACGTGCAGTGGGTTTCCACTTCTTAAGTATTTCACTTGTCTGGACTGCTAAGTGCTGTGCTTAGATATAAGCTGAAGAATAATCATGATAAATGGAGGAACTGGAAAGAAACTGGGAATGGTGCATGTGTGGATTGGTGTTTGTATAATATTGTCTTGAAATAAGCAGAGCTTGCATTCTGTTAGGCAGGTGGGGTGTTTGCTTATTCCTGCCTTTTCCTTCTATCTTAGCACAAGTACTTGACTTAATTGAAGGAGTAGCTCTACTTTAACCTCAGTGGAACCTCCTCTTGTGTGTTTGGGTTTTGGTTTTTTTTTTTTTTTGGTCAAATGTCAAACCTAAGAAGAAAGCCCATCTTGAGGCTCTTCTTCTTTCACAGTTTAGTTTGGGTCAGCAAGTGCCTCCTTCTTCAGCTCTGGATTGATGAATTCAGACAGGGTTGAGACCTAAGTTGAGCACTGTAATTTCCTTTCTGTACTGTGAATTCCAGCAGGAATCAGTGCGACTTCCTAGGAGAATGGCTCTGCTCCTTTTTGTTTGGTGCCTATCTGGCTAGGGAGGGCAGTGGCCAAGTAGGAGGTCTAGGTTGTGGGAATTTGCAGTGAGAGTGCCAAACTGGTTTGCCAAGAGCAACATTGTTCATGCCTGTGGCCTGTGTGTGCTGCCTGCGGTGCCATCTGTAAAATCTGAAATGGATGAGTCTAAAATCCTTTGCTATGAGAGGGAGCTGCTGACAGAGTGTTCTTCAAACGCAGTCAAGTGTTTTAGCAGTCTTACTTTAAAATAGCTTTTATTGGTCAGCCTAAAGGGAAGGTTTGTTACCTGTCCTTTGGATGTGTGGTGGGATCCACTTGTCCTAGTAGCTACCTCTGAAGGTGGGTGAGAGTATGAAGATGGGCTTTTGCTCTTCAAAGGTTCTCTGGGGTCCTAGTCCACACTTAGAATCCTGTAGCAAAACTGATCTGGAACAGTACAGCCTCCAGCAGTGTCATGATCTATCGGTGTGTGGCTTTGCTTTAAAATCTATTTTTTTTTTTTTTTTTTCCTTAAACTATGTTACAAGGCTGGATTACTTTATGGGTTATTTAAAATCAGATCCTGACTAAACAGAATGGTTTGAGTGGGGTTAATGTCACTGAAGACAATCCAGTTATGCATTTCAATTCCTTAGCTGTTGAAAGAGTTTAAAAATATTTCAAGTTAATTTCATTGCTACGCTAAGAATATGTGTTTATGCAGCAGAATAACTGTTGCCATCAGCTCTTGATGTATATGAATTTAAGAGTAGGCAAATTCTGTTTTCCAAGTTGCATGGCTGTCCAGTAGCTGGCAGTAGGGAGGAGGGTGTTCTGCTTTTTAACTGCTGTAAGCGAAAATATAGAAATGCCTTTTTTACTACTGTTGATTGTCCTTTCTTAGCCCCTTATTCCTATAAACTTCCCCGTGGAGCTACATTGAGAGGACTTGTTTGATTGAGACCCCTAGCTCAGTGTACTTGAAACTTAATGAAAACTCTGTACCATGAAAGTAACACTTGAAATGTTAATCAGTTTCTGGGGTTCAAGAAAAGTAACTCACCTCATCTGTTTTCTGTGGTTTTGTAAGCAGATAATCGACGTAGAACACGATGCTAACGCAGGTGACTCGCTGGAGTATGATGCTGAGTGGATTGCAGTCCTCAAGGCCACCAACAGTCTTGTTAATGTGACTCAGACCTCATGGAACATGCCTGAAAATAACGGCCTCCATGCAAAGTAAGTTCCATGCAAAGTAGAGAGGGAAGTGTGATTTTTTTGTTTGGTTGGTTTTTTTTGTTGTTTTTTTTTTCTGGACTGAAAATAAACATGTTTCTCTGTTCTGCAGCCCATATTGCCTGTAGCACTTGCTAAATGCCTTGGAAAACAAAGGGGATGGTGACAAGAGCTGTAGTTTGGAGCATACAACTTCTTTACTGCTCTACACAGACAGTTTTGTTTGACAAAGTTAAACATGCCACCATTTGAGGGGCCGATCATCTTGCCAGTCAGAGTGTGTGACTGAAAATCAGGCTGGATTATGGGGGTGGGCAGGTGAATCTTTATTGGGTGGGTTGACATAATACACAAATCCTTGGTGGGGAGAGGGGAATCTCAATATTGACCAAAGGCAATATACTTTCTAGAGAAATCATTTGATAAATTAGGTACCTGTTGTGAGATAATTTTATTATCCATCTTTAAAAGTTTCTCTTTGCAGTGGGAACAGGAAATACCTTTTGACTACTGCACTTGTTTAAACTTTATGCACTTATTTAGGTGGGATTACAGTGCGACGGAAGAAGCCATCAAAGAAGTGTTAGAAGAGCTGAATCATAACCTCAAAATTCCTTGCAACTTCACACTGACAGCTGCTTGTTATGATCCCAGCAAGCCCCAGAAAAAGGTAGAACCAGTTCATACCATCAATCCACAGACCACTGAGTTTTGTGCCCAGTTTGGCCTCACTGACATCAACAACAGGATCCAGCAAGCTAAAGAAGAGGGCTCGGTACGAGGAGAACACGAAGAGGAGGAGGAGGAAGAGGAGATGGACAGTACTGGGTCAGCAGAGGAACCCAGCGAGTATAATACAGATAATTCTGGACTTTCATCCATTAATCCAGATGAAATAATGCTGGATGAAGAAGGTGGTGATGAAGACTTGAGTACATGTTCTGTAGATCCTTCCCCTGATCATCCTCCTGACTTCTCTGCAAGTTTTTCTGACATCCGGATCATGCCGGATTCCATGGCGGTATCGTCTGATGATGCTATGGACTCCACTAACGAGGAGCTGGAGAAATCTGGAGCGAGTAAAGAGGTGGAAGAGAAGAGCTTAAATGAAAGACCATTAAAGCGCATCAGCGGTGACGAAAATGGGAACAGCGGCATTAAAAAAATTAAGAGAAGGAATCAAGCTATCTACGCTGCAGAGGATGAAGATAAAACAGAATGATACTTCATGTGATGTAGAATTGAGTTCTCTCCCTGCCTTTTTTTTATGGGAAGGTGGTGAGGACCGTGGTGGGCTACTCGTGCTTTTAATGTTACTTGCTCTTATTCACGTTACTTTCTTAAGCTTGAAGAGGCTGTAGGTGCCTCTGGCAGGGAGGGAGATTTATCCAGATTAAACATGGAAGTCAGAAGCAGACTTCTCCAGGAAATTACTTTGTCAAAGAATTTAAATCTTGTGTATAATCAGTTGATTTTACTTCGGTTCTCGGTTATTAGTGTGTACTACGTAAGAAAATGACTCTTAAACTATAACTCAAGACAAAGTGAGAGGATGTCCGACTTACAAGATCGAAAGATTTTATTTTATTGCTTTTTGTCTCATTTTATACTGAACTTTTAATACAAAGTAGCATATGCAATGACTCCATGAACTAAATTGGCAAATAGAATTCCCATGATAACAAAACAGCAATAGAAGAGTGAAGATTTTTGTTTCTGGTGATATTCCTGCCATAGAAAAACTTCACGGTCATAAACAAAACAATGTGTGTTGTCTGGTATTGGTTTTTAATTACAGTTCTGATAGGGAACCAAGTCTCTTAATTTGAAGCATGACAGAATGCATCTCTGTTCTTAAAACCTCACTTGTGTGCTGTTTCTCAAAACTTGGGATCAATGTCTTAAAATTAAAATGCAAGTAGTTAGGATGAGCAGCTTCCTACATGCAGACATCATCACTGTCTCAATTAGTACTGATTAAGGCTGTGTTCTGTTTTCATATAAGGTATCACTTGTGTGCTGTTTCTCAAAACTTGGGAACAATGTCTGAAAATTAAAATGCAAGTAGATAGGATGAGCAGCTTCCAAAATGCAGACATCATCAGTGTCTCAATTCGTACTGGTAAGGCTGTGTTCTGTTTTCATATAAGGTCCTTGATGTTTGTAAGTTGCTTGAGACAATAATACCATTATCGTTAGCCCAAGTTTTCACCTGACACTTCTTTTCAGTGGTGTGTAACTTGCTGAATTCTTACAACTGGCCCCAAGTTTTCACCTGACACTTCTTTTCAGTAGTGTGTAACTTACTGAATTGGAAATTTGGATTTGAATTGGAAATCTGGATTTGGAATCTTCCAAAGTACCCTCATAAACTGAGGGAGAAGTTGGAAGTTTTCTTTTTACTGTTCTAGTTTGCCCTGAACTATTAGCAAACAAATTGCACTCCTTTGGCCTTTTAAGGCTGTGAGGAGAACAAAACTCACTGAAGTCATGAAAATGACAATGGTTTTCGTGCATATGTCATTAAACTCATTTAGTCTTCCTGCCAAATTCTGCTGGTGTTCTGTGTGGAGCTTCTGGAGTCCAGATGGAGAGGGACTTCCCCGTGACCGTGCTGCCCTTGAGAGCAGAGGTAGCTCCCGTGTGCTGTCACTCCTCCAGGGCTCGGGCGCTGTGGAGGGGAGAGGGAACTGGACAGGGAGCAATGGGGGAAACTGGTTGATTGCTGAGTGTGAGTTACGTTGCAGGGAAAAGCTTTAAGGTCAAGGCTTCTGTCTTTAAAATCGCTTCCGCCTTGTTCAGCATTCACTATGAAAACTAAATGCCTGTAAGTATTCAAGGGCTAGAAAATGGCAAAACCAGTGCTTTCCACAGTTCTGAGTAACAGCTTTATACTGGTGGGTTGATGCCATTAATCGTCCTGGTTTGTATTTTGGTTATTTTTTTCCCCGAGGATGTTGTCTTGTTTAGTAAATGATTAGTTGGGCACTGTTAATGCTCCTCCTGTCTCTATGTCAGAACACTCACCAAAGAGGACTGTGGTACAATGTGATGAGAAACTGGAAGGGTTTGGTGTAACCCTCAGGTTATCTAAAGTAGCTGTGAACTACCAGCTAGATGACTGAAGATAGTTGATTATCTTTAAGGGCCCTGAGTCTCTAATGCTAAAATTTCAGGCATGCCTCGGGATCTGAAGACTACAATGGAAATAAAGTATTTTAAGTTACAAACTTGACAAGTCTCCCAAGAAATTGGAGCACAGTATTCAGCTGTCAGACTTCTCTGTCAACTTAGTGGAAGATGTAGATTTCACGTGATTTTAGTCTGATTTCTTATGCTTTTAAAGCAAACTTTCTTATGCTTTTAAAGCAAACTCTTGTGTTATGTGTTGTGTCCCCCCCCACATTCTCATAAATGTGTTTTGGATTTCTAGAAAGAGGAGACTTTGACAAGATAGAATACCGATTTTTTTAATTTTTTTTTTTTAAATAAAGTATTTCAGCATCCATTGAGCAGAAGCAGCTGGTAAATATAGTTAACATACATTTTTTTAGGAGTACGAATTGTATCTGATCTCTATAGGAGTTACTGTGCCCTTTCTTGCACTTGTTCACACCCTCTCGGCAGTTTGAAGTGTCCAGCTCTAGTGTGTTCTCCCCTGTTACGGATTTTCCCTGTCAGCAAGATCCTCCATCACGGAGAGTTTAATTGAAGCTCTGCACTTGAGCCTTCTCAGTGAAGACCAAACACTCCAATGTAAAACACTAGGGAGGGCTGACAAAAGTTCAATTGCCTCTTAGGACCTGGGGTCTTCAGTCCTCTTTAAAAAGCAGCTTTAGAGTCAGTCTTTCTGAAAACTTTTGACTTTTTTCAAGTGTTAGTGAGAAACACCTGTAAAACATGTCAGACCCTTGTATCACAAACTTTTTTTAGTGTATGAAACTTGTACTTGGTCTAAAAATGTTTTTGCTGTTACCTGGAAAGTGTTTGAGAAAAGCACTCACGTGTTTGATGCTAGGCCAGCACACAGGTATTTTGCTGAAAGCACGTTATTAATCTACTTGGAGAAAAATGGAAAAAAAAAAAAGCTATATTCCTTCTTTTCTGTATGTGGAGTATTTTTTTAAAATTAAAGCTATTAAAGTCAACTTGTGACAGCATCCCAAAGTATGTTTATTGTGCTCCTGTCATCCTCTCCAATCTCTAACAGCTGGCAAACCCATCTTTACCTCGCAAGAGCAAAAGTTCAGATGTTTTAACCTGGTCTGTGATGTTTTTACTATTCTTCCCCCCTGGACTCCTTCCTGAAGTTCTGCCTTCAGGAGCAATGGGTGGATAAAACCAGTGTCCCCCTGTCTCAAGACGCTAATACAGATCTGAGTGAAGTCCAGGGGTTTTTGGGGTGTTTTCTGCAAAAGTCCATGAAAGCAATGATGAAAAAAGGAACCCAAGCCACCTATTTTACGGCATGCCATGCCTGTGTCCCTAGGGAAGGTTGTGCCCGAGCAGAAGGTTCTCAGGAAGGCTCCAGCTCTCCATATACCTGGTGTGGATCAATCACCAACCCAACTGTCCTCACGATGTCCTAGATGCTCCACACAGATGAGGATGTGACAGAAGGACCTGTGGAACTCCATGACATCCCCATGTGCAGGCTGAACAGAGGGTAGCTGAGACTAAACCTCAAAAAAATCCTATGTACCAAAAAAAAAAAGTCCAGGCTGTTGTTGGGATAGCCAAGGGAAGGGAAGGGAAGAAGTCGACCTCCCCCCCAACAGAATCACAGAATCTTCTAGGTTGGAAGGGACCTTAAAAATCATCTTGTCCAACCGTCAACGTGACTGACAAAAATAGACACCCACACAACAAACAAGGAGCATCATCACTAAACCTCCCAGCACTATACCTCCCAGCACTACATCAACCCGGCTTTTGAACACCTCCAGGGATGGGGCCTCAACCACCTCCCTGGGCAGCCCATTCCAATGGCTGAGAACCCTTTCAGGGAAAAAATTTTTCCTAATATCCAGCCTGAACCTACCCTGGTGCAACTTGAGGCCATTTCCTCTCGTCCTGTCGCCTGTGACTTGAGAGAAGAGACCGACCCCCACCTCTCTACACCCTCCTTTCAGGGAGTTGGAGAGAGCAATAAGGTCTCCCCTCAGCCTCCTCTTCTCCAGGCTGAATAACCCCAGTTCCCTCAGCCTCTCCTCATAAGCCTCCCTGAGACTCCCGCCTCAGCGTCCGGGCTTCCGTCAGCCAAAGCCGGCCGCCCAGCCCCGCGTTCCCTATCTTCCCGGAGGGCAATAAGGAGGGCTGGGTCGGTCCCCTGAGCCGCCCGCGGCCCCTCAGCCCGCTCCATCCCCGCGGCCATGGCGGCGGGGCAGCGCTCCCCTCAGCCTCGCGCCTGCGCGCGGGAGGGAGGGTGGGT